CATTAAACAACTACTTTTCTGTTCATAACCCTTCACTACTTATTTATCAAGTAAGTTGTGAGAGGTAGGACAAGGTGTAGGTCTATTTCTCTTAGTTCCATATTCGCTGAATGTTTTCGCCATTTTTCAGAAGTCTCCCCTCACACATTATATCCAGACTTTAAATTTGTGTTACAGAAAAGTTTCCAGTGTTCATGGCTCCATTTGAAAATCAGAGTTAAGTAATTTGACAGTTATGTACAGTACCTTCATCTCTCTCTCAATATGGTCTCCCTCCTCACCATGAAAAGGCAGATTAGTGTAAACTAAGGTTGAATCCTAATGTATTTCCACAACATTTACAGTATTATGTACTCCTGCAATTTGGCAATACCCATCCATTACTAAATTTCAATCTATGAAGTCCACAACAATATAAAGTTACCTCCATCAAAGTCACAGTACACTCCTATTCTGTCCGGAACAGTCATATCTAGGGCTTTGGCTTTATTATTGTGCTTTGCAGCAAAAGTGGTTTGTAGCCAGTTGTTGACATGGATACACCAGCTTGTGTTAGTCTTTCCCAGTTGATCAAATTTTCCCAGATTTTTATATGCTACTCCCACACTGTAGGATTTGCAGTCCTTCTGGGCTCTCACCTCCCAGTAGTGCTGTCCACTTTCAATAGCAGTGTCTCCTGTAACAGACCACAGATGTAGAGGTTTTTTTATTCTTTACGCCGACGCATGCAGTACAGGATAGACTTCTCACTGGGCAAAACAATGAAGCCTACTCAAGAAATAACTACTAGGTAAAGACTTAGAGGTTGTAGACAGTGAGCCTAGTGGAAACAGACCAAAATCCAATAAATTTAAGACTATTAGAAACCTTGTGTATATTCATCACATTCAGTAAAGGTGGAACAGAGAGGCTTTTTCTGCTCTCTACCGAAAACAGGTAATTTAACAGAATGTTGTATTTAACAAAACAAGTGCACCTTGATGCTATTACAATTGGCACATTAGAAAAGTCATTTAGCAGAAGTATTTTAGCTATCTTTTGGATAACCTTACAGTAAAAGACTACTTCTTAAATGCTAGAATTTCCTGCATACATAAGTATCTTCACTCCCTGAATGAGCACAAGGATCTCTGCACAGATCTGAAAAGGAGAATCTAGCGTACAGATCCCAGTCTGAGCCCAGGTTGCAGAAGTCATTGTCAGAAAAACCTTGGATTACAAGCTACAAATTGTCTCCTGATGGAAACCCAGATCTATCTGCCCTTGCTCAACACTAAGTAAGAGTTAAAGCAAAAAATTCACCCTACCCAACACTGTGTACGATTCACCAGTAAAGCGATCTCTGCTGCCCCTTATCGATGGTGACCTCGAACTAATAGATGTCCTCTTTGGAGATGGTGTGCCACTTCTATAAAAGAAATAAAATAATTTGCACTCCGGTATGGGGAAGTTTATAGACCAGTCAAATAATGGACAGGAAGTTTTATTTCTCTTGCAGGATACAGATTATTTTATGTGAATCATGCCTGAAGTGTTAGGTGCTTGTGTTGCAATTTCAAGTGGCATGCTGGACCAGCCATTAGCTGCACTATAAACCCTTCTATATATAAGTGAGCTAGGGATCATGCACAAGGAGGGCTGACTAAGAGGGAAGATGATGAAAAGCAAACAAAAAAGATTTAATGAAGATGAGGTAGTGAAGAGGAAAGCCAGGAGAAGTTGAACAAGTGAATGGGAGGAGAGTAAAATCAAAATTTAGAATTTAAATGAGCCATCTGTCATTCAAATTATATGCAAGAGGTAATAAGTTTCCCCCCATTGCTTGCAGAAACCTAGAAAGTTTTGATAACAAATTTAGATGTTGGAAAATGGCAAATAATGAACATGGCAGGTCACTTATTGATATTCAGGTGTATTGTGAAGCATGAGACAAAGTGTTGATGTTCATCACAACACAGCCTAGAATGTCACTGCAATTTTTAAGTTGCTTGCAGAAAAAAGTAGCAGGTCTATCCACCCATTGATAAATCCTATGTGCACTTTATTATATTTTTAGAGAAGTTTAAGACTCCAAGAGGCAAACAATGCTACAGTAACACTGAAGAGAATCTTTTAAAGGAGATATTGAAGATCTAAAGTCTTTTATGGAATATAATGGGCCTGATGCTAGTATTTCTGTAAATATTAGATACAATAGATGATGGAGGTGGAAAAAGCTTGCTAAGATTCAGCAGCTCAAGAATTTTTAATGCATTAAAACCAGCTTATAAAGCAATATTCTTCCACTCAAGAATGATGATCAGACCAAAAAAATGTAGGGGAGTAGATATGGTCTACTTGTTACCGTACTGGAGAAGCCTCTCAAGGCTGTTACATTCATTAATATATCTACTCTCAGACATGTAGTGTGAAAGTACTCAGAAGTCCTATGAAACAGAACCTTTAAAAAAAGGGGGGTGGGGTTCATAGGGCATTTTTCAGGTACTAAAGCAAGACCAATGCTCTCTAATCAGACTTCAAAAGAGAAAAGTGCTCCAGAAATAACAGGACAGGGTAAAGTTTTGTTTTTGTTTACAGCATTTTATCCCTCTTTACAGAGGGAATCAGTTGGGTGGGAACCAATATTTTAGAAAGAATCTAGTTAGACTAAACATTTTACTGTTCTTTAGGTAAGCCCCACACCACAACAACTCTAGTAATTCAGGCCTAGACAGGGCATTTGAGGAGGTTATCTTCACCTAAAGTGAAGATTTGAGAAGGGAAGAGTCTGAACAGAAAATGAGATTTCATTGAACTTAAAAAAAAAAAAAAAAAAGACTGCTTAGTTAGGCAACTTGGATTAAAGTTTACCTTTCACTACTAATGCAATGTTTTGCTTTTCATTCAGATTAGATGACTTAGGCTGTATCTTCACCACCACCACAAAAAAAGAAAGTGTTTTTACAGCGAGAACATACAGCTTAGTTATCTCACTGCAAAATCCTAGCAGAAACAATGTTCTGTCGTTTACGCCACAACGCAACTAGGCAAGGTCAACTATGAATGTGGTGGCGGGTATGGTGTTGACCTTGTTTAGGTACAATGCTAGAAAGATCACCTGTGCCTTGTCTCCACTGACTTTACAACTAGGTAATTAATTAATTAATTGTTAGTATCTCATTGCTAGCACAACACTGCAGTGTTTCTGTTGCTGAGACTGTAGGATGATGTTTAAGTCCATGGTTATTTCTGAAAATTCACAATAATTCCTGTTTATAAAAGTTTAACACTTTTTCCTCATGAATTATTTCTAATCTATACTGAAATGACAACATCTTTTTTAACTATAACATCACTCTGTGTAATGGCAGAGTAATGGAATTTTGTTCCTCAAGTGCATGCCTATAGTCTCAAGGTTCCAGCATTTAACTGTTCAGAGACCAATTCTAGCATTTTGCATGACAGATTAATAGTGTTCTCAAATTGTGCTAATACACTTGGTCATATCCCCTGACCTGACTGTAATTTAGATACACCTTAAGAAGCAGGCTTGAATTTGCCAGATTGTAGGATATCATAGCAGCTCCTAAACGGCTTGCAAAAAGAGGAACAAGGTAGGTGGGATAGTCTTTTATTGGACCTACTTCTATTGGTGAAAGAGACAAGCTTTTGAGCTACAGACCTCTTCAGGCCTGTGTTTCACCAACAGAAGTTTGTCCAATAAAAGATTATCTCACCAACCTTGTCCCTCTAATATCCTGAGACCAACATGGCTACAATACTGCAAGAAGAGGGTATAAAATAAGATAATGGTACTTTAAAAGCAGCATGTAACAGTTTCTAAGCAAGCCAACTGAAACATTTTAAAGGCTTGTGATAAATAGGAATAAAAAGTAGCAGTTTACTTACCAAAAGAAAAGGAAATAAGTGAAAGCATGAAAAACAGCAAAGCCAAGAATTAAAGCATATTTTCAGAGGGGAAAATATCCACTGCAACATTCCATCCTGCTCCACGTACGCCACTGCTGAGAAGCCATCCGCTTCTGTCTATCAGAAGCGAGGGCTTAGATTTTCCTTTAGATGATTTTCCAACAAGATATGCAGAAAGTGACATGGTCATTTAGAGACTCATTTGACAGACAAAGGCAGCATAATAAAAGCAGACATTTTGCAAGTTGGGATTTTTCCTCCACTCAATTTTGAACAAGTTACTTCAAACTTTGAAAATATGCTACTTTATTTGAAAAAAAGTGGTCTGTAAATGACCATTTCTTCCAATGGTTTGACCTTATCCACATGACTCCAACAGCCTTTAACAGTTCACACAGTAACCTTTACTATCTTGGATAAAAATGAGTAAATAAGATAGTGTATTTTTAAAAAATTAAGCTGTCCTTTTCACACAAACTACCAATCAGAGGAGTAAGTCTGGGATAAAATGGGCACAAAACAAGTTTGTTAGCTTATCACTTGCTGTTGGGCCTTCTTCAAATTTTATTTGAATGCAGGTCTTGGAAAGACAGTCCAGAACAGAAGGTAGGGCAGTAGCTTCTCCCAAGCCTCCAGCATGAAGAACCAGAAAGCTTGTCTAATAGCTTCTCCTGGAATAGAGCCTACCTTACATGCTAGACTGGGCAGGGTGACTGGCTCCTTCCGCAGAGAAAAATATCGAGAGTTGGCTAGAATTTTTCTATGCGTTGAACAATCTTATGTCCATGAAGGGAGCAGTGCACAGAAATCTAAGAGATAACAGAACAAGTAGTGGTGGTCTCTAGAAGCAGTAGCAGAAAAAGAAGTTACTCTTTGGCATGGTTCCTGAAACTAAAATTAAGGACAATATACTAATCTCAGGAGCAGTTTTTCCCCAAAGCTGCTGACCTCCCAGGCAGTCAAGTTTATAACATGTATGCATGATGAGAAGTGCAAGGGGGAGGAGAGAGAAAAAGAGAAGGGGGAGGAAGATACAGGAGATTCTGGGCAACAGTGTATTTCTATTTTGATCCCATAAAACAAACAAACAGAGGTCTCTGATGACCACGGAGGAGCGGAGCCCCTTGATGCTGGAGAGCGGTGCCAACTGGGAGACCGGAGTGGCTCCCCCACATGGGTCGCCAGTGCTGCAGGCCGATGCGACGGAGACTGTGGTCTTATGGCAGACATCACCACCGGTTTGCCCACAGAATATATGGTGCCCGGAACCGGTGCCGGCGACCTCACCTGCCTAGGAGGTGAAGGTGGTGCCGTAAGCGCCAAAAGGTTTGCTGCTGCCTCAAACGCCTCTGGCATGAAGGGAGCTATAACGCCTTGCGGCAGTAGGCCGGTGAGTGGTGCGGCCCGGACTCAACTGGACTCGTCCCAGGGCAGGAATTAACGGAGTCCCCACTGAATGTGTGCCCGATGGGGGCTTGCTGGCCAACTGGTCCTTAGACCTGGTCGGGGAGTGTCCTCTGTCGGCCTTTCCTTTTGAGGGGCACTGGGGAATGGGAACGGTGCCTCACCGATGTCTGGGACCTGTGGATGGAACCATGGTGGTGCCGAGGGTATCTAGCAGAGTCCTTCCTCGGCACCAGCTCACACGTTGACTGTGCTGAGCACTGCGAACTGAGGATGTGGCACTCGAGGCCGGATCTGCTGCGCCAGGTTCCAACTGAGGCCAAAGTGCTGCTTCCATAAGTAACACTCGGAGGTGCTTCTCCCTGTCTTTAAGGGTGCTGGGGTGAAAACATCTACAGATTTTGCAATGGTCTCGAAGGTACCCCTCACCAAGACACTTCAAGCACGAAGTGTGCAGGTCACTTTTCGGCATAAATCTGCCACAGTCCGAGCATTGTGTAAAGCCTGGAGATGTAAGCATATGCTGGTGTCCCCCAGAAAACATCAGGGGGACCCCCCCACAAGAAAAACTATTACACTAACTAACTAACTAACACTAACTGTATACATGAACATTGCAAACGCACGCTTGCTGAGGCGAGAGAAACAGGGAGTTCCAACTAGCTGTCACAGGTGGTAAGACGGAACAGGGGGGCGGGGAGGAGGAGAGAGGTTGGCAGGGCCCTATATTGGGCACCATGAAGGCGTGACTCCAGGGGGTACCCAGGCCAAATCTACAGATACTGGAAGATTTTTTTCCTCTAGCTTCTGTCATGCACATGGCACGCACACACCTGACTGGAACTGACATGAACAAGCACTTGAAGAACTAAGAATTAAAGACAGTAAGCTGTTTGGGGCAGGGGTTGTCTTGTTCTGTGTCTGTTCAGTACATAGTACAAGGGGACTGGACTGGGGCTTCTAGGCACAATGGTAATATAAATTAATGTTAGATTGTATTGAAACTTGAGCATGTACAGCTCCATTTGATTCAAAGGAGTTATGGCATATCCCACTCTTAGGGTAACAGGCTGTTCTCCAGAGAACGGGGACTGCATCAACCTTCCCCATGGATGAAGATTAGATTACTAGCCCATTAAATAAAAGCAGACAAAAAAAAAAGGTACTGTCTTGGTTACTGATGAAGGCTGTTGGATAGGCTCATGTTTTATCTAGAGAAAGAGCAAGTATTAAAAAGAAAAACTCTGAAGATTTTCAGCAAAGCTAGAGGCTAGATCCTAGAACTAGAAAAGTTGTAAGTTATCACCTTGTATTGTTCTTCAGTACTGTAATCTGGCCACTGTCAGACAGAAATAAGCAATCATTAAAAGAGGTTACTACTAAAAATTGTACACATTAGCTTTAGAGACAAATCTTATCAGCCTTTCAAAACTGGTCACACCACTGGCAACCACCAGCAGCCAGGAAGGCATTTATTGTTTTAATGTTAGGTAACTGAATGTGTGTCACATTAGATGTTCGTAATTATACAAATAAGTCTTGACTAAGTAAGATTTTATATGATATTTAGAGAAAAAGATAATTTAACTAGATTTGGCCTTCTGGTAAAGCTTAATCTTTAGTAAAGGCTACAATCTTTATTGCACAGCCCTCTAACTTTCACAAAAAGAAAAGGAGTACTTGTGGCACCTTAGAGACTAACCAATTTATTTGAGCATGAGGTGCCACAAGTACTCCTTTTCTTTTTGCGAATACAGACTAACATGGCTGTTACTCTGAAACCTAACTTTCACAGATATTTTACTCACCTTGCTATCAAAAGATGTTGGTAACCTCACTGACAATAGTTTAGAAATATCAGTATCCTTTCTCCTTCATTCATCAACTATGGTTCCATGACGCAGCCCAAACTGGAATTGCATCCTACTATGTGAAGTTCATTCAATTTTTTAATTGACAGGTTACCCATTTCATCCCTTACTGTCCATATCTGATGCAAGATAGTAAGTTTAGAAGTTGAAACAGCTGACAGTCATGGGGAATGCCTCATCAACAGTGATAAACTGACAGGCAGTTAAGGGCAGCCAAAACACCTCTATATACACCACTTGTAGGTATGACAGATCTTATATAATTAAGGCTAATACATGAATAGACTCAAGACTACTCAAGTACAAGACTCTGCCTCTTCCCCCTTTCCTTTATCCAGTGTGTTTGAGATGACCTCAAGCTTGAAAGTCTAGAGCAGTGGTTCTCAACCAGGGGTATGTGCATCTCTGGAGCTCACAGCAACTCTAGATATTTGCCTATTTTACAACAGGCTACATAAAGAGCACTAGCGAAGTCAGTGCCAACTAAAATTTCATACTGACAATGACCAGTTTGTACTATATGCTGAAATACAAGTATGATATTTATATTCCAATCCATTTATTTTATATGGTAAACATGAGAAAGCAAGCAATTTTTCAATATTAGTGTGCTGTAACACTTGTTTACAAAATCAGATTTAAAAAGTACACAAGTAGTTAAGTGAGGTGAAATTGGGGTACACAAGATAAAAATCAGACTCCTGAAATGGGTACAGTAGTCTGGAAAGGTTGAGAACCACTGGTCTAGAGTACTTAAACAAAAAATGGTATTTATACAATGCCATGGAAAGCAATCTGCCTCCATGGTTGAGAACAGCAGTCTGGCAGACAACTGATGCAAAGAATGTAGCATGACTATGGAGATGGAAATGTCTGTCAAGGACAGCTTTTCAGGGTATGCCAATACACCTCTACTCTTTCCAAAAAAGGGCCATGGATTGGTTCTCTTTATGCCGTTTTTCTTTTGTTTTATCCAACTCCATCCATCTACAATACAATATTAGCAAGACTGACTCAGTCATTCTTAGAACTGGTGGTTCTACCGTACCTAAGTGTGTCAGATCTGAAGCTCAGATAATTACTGTCCAAAAGTGAAATAATTGGAGATGGCTGAATCTCTTTGACTTGGGCCACATTTATTATACAACTCCTTGGATTCACAAAAGCAGATTGGTAGGTGTTAGAAGGTCTTGAATCTAAAACTAACTCTTGATTTGGCTTCTTTTCAAATATTTGAAGTGGCTTATTTGAATGTCTCCTCTTAGTGGGGCTACATGCCTTATCCTTCTCTTGGGCCTTCCCCATCCTATATCACAGCAACATTTCTTCCAAATAGAAATGTCCGGATGAAATTTCCTTCGGTGTCCACAGTTACACCAACCAGATGAGTGACTGGAGATTATAAGGAGTAATGCAAACTCCCACAGAGGCAGGAGTGTGCCAGCTACGAATACTACTGACTTTCCTCCCTTCACTTCCTGGGCTGTGTCCACAGTCCAAGAAGTCAGGAATACCTGACAACTCCCTATTTAAGAATCTTTAATACAACCCTATGGTCCAGGGAATCAGCGTTTCATGGTATGCTAATTCAAAACTAATATACTAAGTATCTTAAGCAAAAACAGTGCCCTAAAATAGTTTGCCACTCTAAACATATTAACCTTATTCAATCTAAGACTTCAGGTTACAGATAGAGTTAAAGTTCTCACCTGCCTTTATTCTCTTTTCCTTTTATTTTGTTTTCTTGGCCTTTGCCTCCAGTAGGATCCCACTCAACATAAGAATCTTCAACTTTCAGGTTCAGATGAGACGATGTATTGTCCAAACTGAAGACAAGTGCTGGTCAAGACAAGATTTCAAAGAGTAAAAAACACATGGATTATCTCCCCCTGCTGTCTACAAGAAAAAAAATTAGGAGTAGTAGACAACAATGCACTATAAAAAAAATCAAGTAATTATAGTTAAGGCTCCATATTTGTCATGGAGGTCAGATTCTGTGACCTCCGATTTCTGCAGCAGCCTGGCACGGCTGGCCCGGGGGCTGCCTGAGCAGCTTCGGCAGCCCTTGGGACCGTCGCACTGACTGCTGCTGGGGCAGTCTTGGGTCTCCCCTCACCCCACTACAGCAGCAGGAGCTTGGGGAGGGGGCAGCTCCCCAGAAGGGCAACAGGAACTCCCCTTCCTCAGCTCCTAGGTCCACATGCTGCCTCTGCCTGCAGACACTGCCCCAGCAGCTCCCATTCGCCACAGTTCCCAGCCAATGGGAGCTGCAGAACTGAGGCTTGGGACGGAGTGGAGGCAGCACATGGAGCTAGGGTCACCACTTCCCAGGAGCTGGGTAGGGAGCCTGCCCCCGCCCCACCCCCACAGCAACCCCCAGGCTGCCCCCAGACACCCAAGTTTTAGTAAGGAGTATATAGTAAAATTCATGGACAGGTCACAGGCCATGAATTTTTGTTTCCACCCATGACCTGTCCATGACTTTTACTAAAAATACCTGTGACAAAAATGTAGCCTTATAATTGGTCTGACATTTGTAACTATAAACAAGTGAAATCCAGCCAGTCCAACTGTAGTCTTGGGACCATGCCACACAGAACACCTTCAAATCGGTGAGTCTCAGCAATTAAAATGTTAGTATTAAATCAGAGACGCTTTCTATACTCCAAGATTTATAATTTGAGAGATAGTGACAAAAAAACTAAGCCCATCTTCTGCACTCCATATCACACTGTCTTCTGCAAGCTATTTCTGTGATGAAGATTTAACCGTCATAATCTGTTGATTACAATAAAGCTGAAGCAACAGCAAATACATAGGGACAGTCGAACTGCGAAATGACCTGCAGAGATTAAAGCAGGCATTAGGATGTAAGCAACTAAAGAAGACTCAGTAGTAATTAGTGTCAAATCCTTCACCCTGGGAGAGAAAAAGACAGCATAGAATAGACATAGCCAACCGGCTGCATCCATCATTTTAGCGATTTGATTTTCATCTCTCCTCTGAATACTGTCCTGCTATCATCATCAAGTACTATATTTACTGCAGGGAGAAGTGTTTAAGATCAAGGGGTCCACAATTCACAAGCTTGAACCACAGCAATATGCAAACAGATTGAGATCAGAGGCCCATGCTACCCAATATAAAACCAAGATAAAAAATTATGCCAATA